CGAACCCACACCCACACCCACACCCCCACCCACACCCACACCCACACCCACACCCACACCCACACCCACACCCACACCCACACCCACACCCACACCCACACCCAAGATGAAACGCGTCGGCATTAACTGAATTTTGTACAGAGATTGTTCAATTATCAATACAGAAAAATCAGAGATCATTTACTGAAAGCGCAAGAGTTGGGACTAGCAGATTGATTTGTATTTCATCAGAACTACAATTTAATGTGTTTTCACATTGACACCCTCCTCCTTCTCACCCTCTTATCGACCAAGATATACAATCATATGCATACATATGATCGCGCACGCATATGCACCCTCACCATAAAAGATTCAATGGTTTTGTTTTTTTGCAATCCTATAATTGTTTCTAAAGTGTTGTTAGTTACTATGAGAGAAAACATCTTCTTTGTGGAATAGAGTTTCATCGCCTGTTGTATAATAATCGTTCACACAATTTCTGCTATTTGTGCATATGCTTCTGCAAGTTGAATTGCTTTGTTCACAGTCACTAGCGTGCCTTGCATTGTATTGGTCACGTGTTCCAATATTTTCTTGTTCACACGCCCAAGCCCGATGGTCCAAAAGTTACGGACTAATGTCGAGGTGATTTGATTGGTTGCAGAGGCTAATAGACCTGAAATATAAAATACGGATTACATAGACTGATACAAAGGGAATTCGCTTTAAATAGTATGAAAATCGAAAAAAATCAATATGAGATAAATGTAAAATTGTACCGGACGAGAAAATTAGCTACTGTTTTCAGATTTCACAAAAAACCTTAATATTCAGCTGCATTTTATAATATTTCTAGTAAAGCTATAGTTCTTTGAGATGGACGCTGTTCACTAGAAAAAAGCTGAGGCTTCCACTTCGTTGTCTCACGTGACACACGAAGGTGCATGAACTATTGCTGAATCCGATAAGTAGCGATTTTCACTCGTGTCGATTACTGTGAATCAAACCCTTGCAGACACTTATCCCTCATCTGTTCCGAAAATAATGTTTTGAATTTATTGCTCTGATCTCTTCTGCAGCTCAACAGTCGGACGTCATACTAAAACGTGGTTTTCACTAGAGTAATTTGGTGACAAACCTGTTTTGTAACTGCTCATTTTTGTTAAGGTAGATTCGAAGTTGTCCATAGGATCGCCATCAGTCATGAAGATGATTGTTTGTTCAAGTCGATCTAGTTTTGGATCTACTTTTACCTCATCAAGTGTCTGGATGACCAATTCGAATGCTCCAGAGAAGTAGGTACCACCGCCGCATACGCCCGTTGGGATGTTTAGCTCATTTACTTGAACATTTTTCAGCTTCTCGCGTCTGCACCACCTCTGTGCCTTATTACCGAACATGATAGCTGTTATTTCATCAGAAAATGACACCTTCTCTTTACGAATATTAATGAAATTCTGAACACTTTTTAGGAGATATTGCCAAGGTGTTTCCTCATTATCAATGTCATTTTGATCCATGGATCCGGAATGATCAAGTATGAAAATGAAATGGTGGATAGGCAGTGGAGTATTGTTTATCACGAATTTCATATCACCACCGAAATGTTTGCATAATTGAGAACCGATCCGTCCCCAAATGAACGTACACTTCGTGTTGATAGTCTCATTTGCATCAAGTTTATCAAAGAGCCAACGAGAATGGTTCTTCTTGAAAGTCGCCCAAGTTTGTCTAGTGCCCTTGTGCGTTACCACATCCTCATCTTGGATAGTTTCGCATTTTAGAGTTGACGCTTCATTGGTGCGTTCATAACGTTTGCCTGCCATTCCACGAATTTGATGACCCAACTGGCATCGATGTTTATTTTCTCCTTCTCCAACCGGATCGGTTCTATTCGATTCATGATCAAAATCACAAACACGACCGCAGCATGGACATTGAGCTTTACATCCTGTTATCCGCTTGAGTACGCGCGGCTTGGAACCTTCGAATACCTGAGCATCGAGTTCACAAGATAATTCAGATATCCGTTGTTTAGCCTTCTTCAATTCACTCTGGAACTTATCTAAAAACTTGCCAGGATACATGATCGATTTCATCCTTTGTTGGCAATTGATATCACAAAAGATCCTTTGGACTTGTTTGTTTGGCTTTCGGGTAAATCTTTCGATGATGAGTTTCCATTTTTGTTGAACTTTACATACGATATCTGTTCCTAATTTAATTTCTGTCGTGACTGTTTCACCAGTAAAATGTTCACAAAGAAGTTTAGCCATACAAAATCCTTTGTCAGACGTTTCAATCTTCCTTCCATCGTCAATTGTCAACAGACTATCTATAAAATCGAGTTTTTCACCACCTTCGTATATTAGGACTTGATGCATTTGTTTCACTAGTTCGTGAATATCTTCATGCAATTGTAGTTTGGCGTTTTTGTTATTCTCAATTTCACCTTTGATTGTTTCTGTAGTATACATTTGTTTCCAATCCTCATTAAAGCGCTCGACGATCATCTCATCAGGTTTTAAAATATATCTCATGAGCCAGTCATCCTTCGTTGTACGATCGATTTTACTATCGAGTTTTTGAAGAATCGAGTATCGTGTCCAATTTTGCGTTATACTCTTAACCGATTGGTCGATGATGGTTTTCATTTCACTTTTGAATTCGTCACGAAGACCTTCCCAGATAAGAGTCGCCAGGTTCATGGCAATATTTTCATCATCATTCTTCATCATGAGAATACACAGTAAATATTTTCTAAGTAGTTTTGGTCTTTTTTCGTTGGTATCATTTATCACGCTGATGAAATAGGTCTTTTCGCGGGTATAGTAGAAGGCGACGGTGAACAAGACTCCAAACAGATAAAATGTCCCACAGAATTTCTCCGACAACTGAAAATCAAAATCTTCCAGTTCTTGATTTAAATCTTGGATTATTTTCTTCAATGCTCCAAGGATAAATTGAGCACGATTGATGTCACCGTCCAATCCCACGAATTTCGATGCATCTAAGGTTTGTCTCAATTCGATCGCCAAGTTTTCGAAACAGGTTGAAACATTAATAATACTTGACCAGTTTTCTTCCAAAACCTTCAGATATCTTATGCGATTGCCTGCTCTCGTCTCATCTCTGGTCAAGTTCTGATTTGATAGAACTTCCTTATATTTTTCCTTTAGCGCCTGTAGGTTCATGTACATACGCATCTTTTCTATTTCTTCATTCGAAATGTCCATAGGCCTTTCCTGTTTTGCCGGGTGTTTTATCAGTGGTGACTGTTTCATAGCTTCTTCTTCGCAGAGTTTCCAAATCTTCTCTAGATGATCATTCATAAAACTTGATTGATTAAGTGATATATCGAGAGAATACAAGAACTTGGCGTAGACAGCTATATATGTACTCGATATTATATTATGCTCATTGAACACATTCCAAAGGTATGACACCATATCCATCGAGAGTTTCCACAGGTCTGATGAGTTGAACAATGCCTGAATTTCTGGTACGACATCCTTCAGCTTTACGTTCAGAAATTCTTTGGCTTCGTTTTCATGCAAGTACGCATTGTGATATGTGATAGAGTTCACAGCCATATGCAGCTCATCTTCTGCTTTCTTCACGATTTTATCAATTTTATCCCGTTCCGACATCAGGATAGTAGACACTTCCCACGAGCGTACAGTATTTCTAACATATATATCTATGAAAGTTGTCACTGTCTTCTGAGTTGTTGAAGTTGCATTCGTCTCGTCGAAATATTTCTTTGATTTCTCTCTCAGACTCGTTTGAATTTCGGTAGTCTTTTGTTCATAGAATATTTTAATTGCATCTTTTTCGAGAACTTTGGTGTAGTCGATTAATCCTTCGCCGATGCCTGGAGATAATGCATTACGAAGATCTTCATCAATTCCTTTCCGAATGACTTTGAATTGCTGCCACTCGTATATTTCTTTGAACTGTGTCAACTCGGGATGGATTTTGAGCGTCAGAAATATTCGATGTGCGTTTTCGATCCAGGTCTTAACTGCACAGAAATCATTTCCATTCGCCTTTATAATTTTCAGCGAGTCACTAATAAATCTTTGCAGCAGGCGTCGGATAGTATCGACGAATGTAGTCTTCGTACGCAGCACGGCACAATTTTTGCTTGAAATCGGAAATGATTTCGATTCAAATGCTTGTGTCAATTCATGAATATGATCATTTCCCAGTCGAATCATCTCCTGTAGATTATGTTTCTTAAGAGCTTCCAGGATATCATTAATAAACTCCTTGTTAGATTTTGGATCCAATGTCAGTCTTTTGTTGCGAACAATGTGAACAACTGGCTTTTCTATCCGTACCACTTGAATATAATGCAGAACTTCGGTGCAGAATACTAGCATCTTCTTTACAGGCTCAACGACTTGATCAACATCATTGACAATGACCATATGCGATACACCCAAGCAGAATGATATCAAGCGTTTTTCGTATTCTTCATCACTTTTCTGAGATGATAGTATACCTTCCGTATCAATGACCAGGATGAAATCGTAGTAGAGCAAAATTGGTTTGCTTTCTAGACGAACGTCATCCATTCTTACCAAAGTTCCATAAATACCTACAGAGGGAGTTATTTTTAATGATGAATTCTACCTTCCTTCAGTCAAAAATACTCACCTTTTGTGCACCTTCCATCGCGAGCTTCGAATGAAGCACCGAACAGGAAGTTCATCAGTGTACTTTTACCGCTATTCTGTGGGCCGAGCGCACTAATAACGAACATCTTCTTGCCAGAAAAAGACTCGAACACACGATTGAGAAGTTCATGAGCCATTTCAAAATTATCGCCATCAAGAATTTCGAATGGATTTCCTTCCAGAATATAATCGCGGTATGCGTCAACCATAAACTTTTGTTCGTCTACGGGAACATGCTGTAATCCAATCATAACATTACGCCAATGGACATCCATTGAAAGTGGAAGCTCATCAGTTGATGGAGCAGCCTGACCAGATCGAAGCCACGCTCGTTCACTTTCGAGCTCCATTGACAATAATGCCAAATTCTGCAGTCTATCTTTATTGTTCTTGATTAACTTATAAAACTGATTGAATCCAGAGCCAAAATGATCATGACCTTCCTTTAGTTTTGTCTCCAAATCAGACTCTGCATGAAATAAATCATTGTACAATTGGAAAATAGTGTCATCGTAAAATTTTTGTTTTCGTGGATCTTGTCTATTGAGCTCTAATTTTTTCTGACATAAAGTCACGTAAAGCGAATATAATGAATAGCACTCTTTTTTGCCATGAATAAGAACATCTTTTATTTGACCAACGCAGCTTTCCTCCTGTTCAATGATGGTACGTTGTTCAGGTTCCAACAACTTTTGAAGCTCTTTTCTGATTTCGATTGAATGATTTGGCGGTGATGTACGAAATTGAGAGAAAATGCATTCTTGAATGATTTTAATCTTTTCTTTATTCTCTGATGATTGTCTGTCTGCAACGTTTGGTAAAATATGCAATTGAACATTTTCGTTGGATGAGCAAGTGTGTGTGTGTTTTTCATCTTCGGAATCTTCGTCTTCATTTTTACAATCACGGATGATTAGATGGACATTGCTGTTTTCAAATAGTGTCAAATAATAATTCAGTAGAGATTGATGCGACGATAAATGCTGACACTCAACGTGAATCAAGAAACCCTTGAACAAATGTGCTATTTCCTTCAATTGCTTTTCAGTGATTTCGCCATGGGTGTCTGCGACGTTGATTGAGCGTCTTTCGTGAAATTGATAACCGAAATCGATATCAATCGTACCTCGAAAGTAGTTATCCTTTCGTGTTTGCTCAAAATCGCTTTCAAATAATGCATTCACTAAGGATGTTTTTCCAGGCACTTTACCGATACCGAATGACAATAAAGTGGGTCTCTGATAATCCCAAATATGTAACAAATTAGATAAAATACGGAATTTCTCGCCATTCACTCGCGGAGGATTCATCAGTGGTACTGGGTTTCGCTTGCTCAGAAGGGTCAGTATCCGACGACTCAATGATCGATCAGAATGTGTCAACAAGGCGTCGATTAGAAAACGTTGGCTAATTGCTTGAGTACCTTTTTTTTTCTTTATATTTAGTATCAAAGCTTCACAAAATTCATGCAAGCTTTGCTCACGCTTCAGCAAGTACATGATTGCTTCTAATACTTCTCCAAGAAAATCATTTATTCGTTCATCCAGGTTATCTTTGTATTTTTTACACATCTGAATCGCGATTTCTTCCATACGTCCATGAAAATATCGTAATTCTCCCGCCTCGACCAAATCACTTGTTGAGTACCTAGCTTGTGAAACCTGGCCATCTATGAAGAGAAAAGAGATGAAATGAAACTCTGTTTGGCCAATTTTCCCATTTGTTCATTTTTCAGATAAAGTAAATGCTCAAAGCGCGATGTAGTGAACTGAATAATCCCACACTTTCTGTTCTGTGATAGCAATCATGAACGGATACTGTGTTAAATCATACCTGTCTCAGATAGTCCAATGAAATTGAATTTCGTTCGTTCAGTTTTCAAATGTTTTCTGTGGAACGCTTCGATCAGTGCTATGATTCGGTCGGAATCGCTGACAACGCAATCGACCTTTAGGTATAATGCATATGCAGCAAGTTAGAGTGAGGATATGTCACCAACTTACTTTTTTAAACTTCTGTGCCCATTTCTCATGTGTTTCAACATTCTTACAGTATACATAGATCGCTGAGACTTGGACCATTTCATGGCATGCAGGGACAAACTTCTCTCCTGCCTGACCGCTGACCAGAAGACAAACTCTTGCATTCTCCGAAAGCTGTTTGATGGCTTCACCGCAAGCGTCGTCTTTTTCATAGATGTTGAAAATAATACAATTTTGTTCCAGTTTCTTTTGTAATTCATGATTTTCTGAACTTTCCTTGAAATTCGGATCCAACCAGAAGTAACGAGTGACTTTAGAAGTTGGCTGACCCGTAGATATGTCGCAGACCGCATGAGAAGTAGCCATCACGGGATAATTAAATGAGTTGGTGTCGAAAAAAGAAAATTTATGTTTGTGTTCGCTATCTATAAGATATCTTGCATGGTAAATAGACACGCTCGCCCTTTTTATCTCGACTCGAGCTCTTCGCACGACCTGATAAAAACCAGTACATGGGATGCCAAACATCCAAAGGGATATTTTCATCAACGTGTCACGAACAATTCAATGAACCTAGTGATTTTTTACTCGATGTTAGTAGTGAATTCTTTCATGAGGTTGAGGGTGAGTATAGCTAGGGTGTGGGAGTGAGTGTGGGTGCGGGTGGGTGGATGTGGGTGGGTGGGTGTGCCTGTGGTTGTGGGTGTGGGTGTTCACCTG